TGCCTGGAATGCTCTGTTCCAGGCAGTTTTGGGATGGATCTCTGAGGTCCCTGGGATGCCCTGTTCCAGGCAGTTTTGGGATGGATCTCTGAGGTCCCTGGGATGCCCTGTGCCAGGCAGTTTTGGGATGGATCTCTGAGGTCCCTGGGATGCTCTGTGCCAGGCAGTTTTGGGATGGATCCCTGGGATGCTCCCGGAGGGCTCCGTGCCGGGCACCTGCTCCGTCGCTGCCGCGCTCATCAGCTGTGAGCGCTGTTACTAAACTTGGCGCTGCAGCTGCCTACAACTTCAAGCAGATGTTTCTAATTTTTAGCACAGTGGAAATTTCTTGAATCACTTTTAAACTCCAATCCCAGGGAGGAAACCTCAAGTGACTCACCCCTCAGYGAAGGCACTGGCTCCGCGGCAGATTTTATCGGAGAGAGGAGCYGCTGGAGCGTCCAGCTCACTTGTCTCCTCGCTGCCCGGTGTCTCCTGTGCGGATCAAGTGTCCTAAATACCAAAAGGGAGAGATGGGACCCACCCTTCCCTGCTGGCCTGGCTGCTCCCCCCGTTCATTCCCTGTTGCCAGGGAAGGGAGCCCTGGCGCAGCGGGGTGAGTCAGGCGGATGGGAGGGATGTGGGAGGGATGTTCCAGCACCTCACCTTCCCCTGTGCCTCGATGAGCTCAGCCTCAGCTCGTGGCTGCTGCTGCCTCCAGCCTGGGGCTGGGCTCCCTCCGATGTCCCCAGTGCTGGCTGAGCTGGGAGCACCCAAAGTGACACCTGAGGCCTTTAATGATAGGATTGGGGGGAATGATTTGAGACTGAAAGGGGAGGTTTAGATCAGAGGTCAGGAAGAAATCTTAATTTTAAGGGTGGTGGGGTCCTGGTGCTGGTTATCCCAAGAAGCTGTGGCTGCCCCTGCATCCCTGGAAGTGTCCAAGGTCAGGCTGGACGGGGCTTGGAGCCACCTGGGATGGTGGAAGGTGTCCCTGCCTATGGCAAGGGTGACATTTGGTGGTCTTTGAAGTCTTTTCCAACCAAACCATTCTGGGATTTTAGGATATTCTGCCCTGCTCTGCTGGAAGCCCCCCACCTTCATGACCACTTCCTTGCCATAGAACTGGGAGGTGAATTCAGAGGGTCCTGCAGGGCCAGGAAGGTCCGAGGGAGATGTTGGTGTTTCCTGGGGCTCTTCTGCCATCATCCCACCCTTCAGCAGTCCCAGCTCAGAATCCAGGGCTGGATGGTGCCTGTGAGTGTGTGCAGGGTGGGATGTGGCTGATCTGGGCAGGGAATGGGTCTCATGGAGCAGTTTTTCCCTGACATGGGCTGACAGGAACCATTCCATCCTTCCTGCAGGTTCTGCTGCACCCCAACAGCGGCGCAGCCGGCAAGGTGGGAGACATCGAGGCGCTGCGGCTGGCTCAATACAAAGCCTTCTACACCACGGGTATGTGTCCCTGCCAGAGGCTGTAAAACCTGGAAAACACTTCTGCAATCCTTAAATCCCTGCAGATACAGGTGAAAACCAACTGAGGTTAATCCAAGCAAGGGCAAACCCAGGGAGAGGTCAGGATGTGCCGAGCTGTGCGTGCACAAGCGTTTCTTGTCTCAGAAACATTCTTGGACAAGAGCTGGGATGGGGTGGGAATGGGCCCTCCTGGGTGGGTGAGTGTCCTGGTTTTACTCAGTCTTTTTTTGGTGGTGGGSGRRTGGGACCAAGAAACCACAAAGATGGCTCCTGTGAGAAAGTTCTAGAAGCTTTCTCCTTCTTCTCCAGCAAAAGGAGCCCTACCCCCTGTGTTTTAGA